GAAAAAAAAAAAAAAAAAAAAAAAAAAAAAAAAAAAAAAAGAACAAATTCTTCAAAGTGAAGTCAGACAGAAGTGACATTTGGTTCTCACTATGGTCCATCAATTTGCTGACCACTTTGAGGACTCTTTCAAGTGAAATAACAAAGGTAAAAAGTAGTTGAGAGTCTAATCCTGTTGGCTCTTTACTCACCCGATGTTCCCAAGGTGATTTTGAATGGTGAAAAGTAACGGGACAGAAGGATAATGGGCCGAGAGAGACAAAATTATCTCAAACTTTGCAAATGCTGCAGTGCTGGAGAATAAAAGCCTCAATCTGTAAAAGACAAGATCCACAATTGAAAATACAGAACAAAAACAGACTGAAACAAATACATTTTCCTTTTACAGTGGCATGTGAAACTTGGGTATAAATTATTTCTTGACCTTATCAGACGGAGGGTAAAACATCTGGAACAAAGTGTTATAATGGTTGTTTTTTCGTTGTTAGTCATGAAACACATTAATAAAGTAAATTATTTAAATAAGTTTTTGACTACTTACTTATTATTATGGGTTGAATTGTATCCCCCGAAAATTCATATGCTGAAGTCCTAACCCCCGAATACCTCAGAATGTGACCTTATTGGAAATCAGTTCACTACAGATGCACTTACTTAAGATGAGATCCTATTGGAATAGGGTGGGCCCCTAATCCAGTATGACTAGTGTTCTTATAAAAAGGCGGAAAGATGAAGGCAGAGATTAGGGTTATGCATTTACAAGCCAAGGAATGCCAAGGATTGCCAGTAAACCACCAGATATTAGGAGAAAGGCATGGAATAGATTACCTCTCACAGCCCTCAGAAGGAACCAACCCTGCTGACAACTTAATCTTAGACTTCTAGACTCCAGAACTGTGAGAGAATTTCTGTTGTTTAAGCCACTCAATTTGTAGTACTTTGTTACAGCAGCCCTAGGGAGCAAATACACTTACTCAGTATTATTCACATCTATGTTCATTAGGTTATAATTTGGTCCCCATCTTTTTAAAAATTCAATCTCCTCTCCAAGGAGTCTGCAATGGTTCACTACCAGTGAGAGTTCTTGAAGCATCTAGGAAAAACAAAAAAAAATTGAAATTATGAAAACATTTCAATGTTTAGTGGCACTTTTATAAAGAATTCAAAAAAGTTAAACAATTGAATATATTTACCAGTTCAGGATCCACTATTATACATGTAAAATTTCAGTTCTGCTTTTTGGGATAGATAATGCAAATTTTCCTTTAAATATTTCAATCAGATTTTACCTTGGGTACCTGGTGCTGTGCTGTACATTTCTTCTTCCAGGATTCGTGTTCCTCAATGTATTTGAAAATAAGCTTATGAACTAAAAGGGAGGAAGGAGGAGCTTTATCCTCTGGGGAAGGGAAAAAAAAAAGATCAAAAGTAGGGTATTACTTATTATTCATATATTTTATATAAGCTAAAAATACTGTATTATATATGCTAGAAATGCCCTCAAACTACTAAGTGCGTAAGTATCCTCTCCATTTTTATTTTCAAACATGGTTATAACATAAATGGTAAACACAGGCATTCCTACAAAAGTGTAAGCCTTTATCACATTACAGAATAGTACTTGGTTAAGAGCATGGGTTTAAATATAATATAAACCTGAGTTTAAATCCTGGCTTTGTTTACTACCTAAGTGATCCTAAGCACAATAAATTTTTTTGATCTGTAGTTTCCTAATTTGTAAAACGAGGAATAATGCCTATCTCATAGTGTTAATGTAAGTAATATACATGCCTTATACAGAGTAACTACTTATAATGGTAGTCTTTAAATTATGGAAATAGCTATTATTAATCATTGTTCAAGACCTAGTAATAATAAAAAAATTTTTTTCTTTTAAACCAACCCAATATTTGAAACATCCTCCAAGCAGTTTTATGTCTAATACACATTTCTAAGGAAAAATTATTATTATTTATATTTAATTTAGTATGTGAAATAGTCTCAAGGAGCAATTTATACCTATAAATTATCAACAAATTTTTAGAAACTTAAATGTTTTTAACTTACCATCTAACAGAGATTGAAAATTCAGGTCAATAATCTTCCTATAAGTTTTGTCCAGGAAAGGGAGACCAACTAGGAAAAACCAGAATAAGGACAGTATTTCTTTTTACTAACTGATTTTAAGCCACATAAAACTTAGTACTTTAGAATCCTATTCCTTCTGGGTAGCATGGTTTTTTCATAGGCAGTTGAAGGTTTATCCTTGCATCATATTATTCTTTGTATGTGATAAAGACTCCCCTACTCAACTACATTGCTTGGTAGGCCTTTGAAGGACATTTAAAGTGTAGTACACAGCCACATTTGTAAAGGCCTCCTCCTTTAAACCCTAATTTCTGTGCAAAGATAATTTTATTATCAGGAATCATATAAGAAAATATCTATGACCACCACACACCTATTATCCTTCTACCAATATAGTCATGTGATGCATAACAATGTTCCAGTCAATGATGGACTGAGGTAGGAGGGAATATGACTGAGCATAAAAGACCATGGTCATTTAAGGAAATGAAAGAAATCTATTATGGCCAATGTGAGAGAATAGGAAGGAAGGTAGTATGAGGCAGGAGAAGGAGGAAAAATTCAACTCATGTAAGGCTTTACAGGCTATATCAAGTATTTTGATCATTACCTTAAGAGTAACAGGTGCATTATCAGATTTTCAACAACCACTATACAGGGAGGAGAATGAATTGGAGAGGTAAAGGAAAAGATTTAGAAAGACTACTTTGAATGTTTTTGTAGTCATCTAAGTTAGAGATGACTATTAACAGGAGAGATGGAGGCTGACTTGTTGGTTCAGTTCGTTAATTCTTTTTTTTTTTTTTTTTTTTAAAAAGATGACCAGTAAGGGGATCTTAACCCTTGACTTGGTGTTGTCAACACCACGCTCACCCAGTGAGCTAACCGACCATCCCTATATGGGATCCAAACCCATGGCCTTGGTGTTATCAGCACCACACTCTCCCGAGTGAGCCACGGGCCGGCCCAGAGCCTGGTTTTATAACACCAAGGTCAAAGGGTTTGGATCCCTGTACCAGCCAGCCACCAAACAAAAACAAAAACAAAAATCCAGGAAAGATGGAGAAAAGTGGATGAATATTAAGAAATTAAAATCAGTACATCTTTTGATGATTTGAATATGTATAGTAAGGAAGAAGCAAGTATATAGTGATTCCTAAATTTTAATTTTGGACCTGGATGGAATGTGACATTATTCATTGAGAAAATAAACTTTTAAGGAGAATCAGGTTTAGAGGCTGGGAGATTGTGAAGATCCTAAGTTCCAATATGGCCATGTTTGCCTATGGTTGGCCATGTTGAAGCTGACTGCATAAAGAGAAAAGACCTAAAGATATTGACAATTAGGAGGCTCAAACAAAACAGCTGGGACTCTGTCTACTTACCATATAGTGATTTCTAACTACTTTGATAAGCCCACCTATACATACAGAACTTCTTCCAGTTAACTTTTTAGGGCCTGACTCTTAGGTACAAAAAAACCAGTCAAGAATCACCAGCCATTAGAATAAATTCTACTTCACAAAGACAAGAGATAGAAAAAGGGAACTCAGAATATATAGACATGAGTAACATGTTTATCCATTATTTGGGTAGGCAAAATTTTTATCATCTAATGTAATTCAGCAAAGGGCAACTTTCACTAGCTGCATTTTTATTTTATTCTTTAATATTGCTAAGGTGATTGACTCTTCTAAGATTTTCAGCAGTGCTTTCTTTCATTATGTCAATTATCATTGCAGTAAAATGAAGATTTGAATCTTTAGTAAGTTTAGCCATTCACTTTTCTGTAGAGAAATTATCTTATTTTTGCTACTCACCTATTGGCTCTCCAAAGGTGATGGTGAGTTCTATTGTGTTATAAACAAAGGTGAATACAGCTTGATCATCACTCCACTCAGTGACATCCCACTCAGATAAGCTGAAGAGAGATAATACAAAAAAAACATTTTTTTTTTTGAGATAAAGAAAGAGAATTTCTGATACCACCTACACAGTACCAACAGCAGCTGCTGGTGTTTTTCCACTGGATTAAGAGACAATATTTCAGTTCAAATACTGTGAATGTACGATCTTATGCTTTTGAAAGGAATAAGAACTCAATCTTGAGTTGTATATCAAAGAAAACCCAAGTCTATCAATGAAAAGTGTTAATATAATTTCACAGCTCTCCCACACTGTATTTTCAGCTTAGTATTGAGTACACTGACTCTTTTTGAGGCTGCACAGTATTATAAGTTAAAAACAGTGACATATTCAAAACATATAGACTGCTCCAGAAGGTTCAAACAACCATGAAGACACAGGGTAAAATACAAACTAACAACACCTGCTTTTTCTTACCTCAACTGATCCAGTAGCTCTTCAGTTCTTTTTGTTTGTTTTTGCATAAAGTCTATTTCAGCAAGGGTCTGTTCTTTCTGTACCTCCAGTTCTAAGAGATTTCTGCAAAAAAAACCAGGTATTCACAGAGAGATAAGACCTTCATTACACAATGCAGACTCTATTAACATAAAACTTTCACACGAGAAATCACATGCTAGATGGCTCCCTACTGAAGTAATAATACAGGTGAATGGCATCCATTTCTGCATTTTTAGGGTTTTTTTTTTTGATAAACATTAATCTGGAAGTGGGTCTACTTAGGAAATGGTTCTACTTGTCTCTCAAATTAGGATCCATGAAAGGATCCGTGGGGTTCACATGTTCTTTAAGATAGTTATTAAGGGCCAGCCCATGGCTCACTCGGGAGAGTGTGGTGCTGATAACAACCAGGCCATGGGTTCAGATCCCATATAGGGGTGGCCGGTTAGCTGACTTGGGAGAGCGTGGTGCTGACAACCCGAAGTCAAGGTTTAAGATCCCCTTACTGGTCATCTTAAAAAAAAAAAAAGGATAGTTATTAAATATTACTTTTTCATTTTTGATGATAAAAATATAAGCATAATATATATCACAAGGATGCCCACCTTAAAATTAAGACTTGCCACAACTTTGTTGCATACATTTGGTTTTGTTTAGTTTGTTAGAGCTAAACAGAACTTATGCTTTGTTAGTCATTTTGATAGCATCAATTTAATTTCAGCCAAACATTATCAACTGTCAAAATCATGTTGTCAATTGGAATTTTATTGGTTTTGTCTCTATTTTTACTTACTTTTAGTCTTATAGTTGAATAAGATTCATAAGCCTAAGAAATATATACCTCATTTTATACTTATTTAAGTACAAGATAAAAACAGTATAATGCTAGGTTTTATTTTATTTTTTGGTGGCTGGCCAGTACAGGAATCTGAACCCTTGACCTTAATGCTAGGTTTATTTTCTTTAAAAGGACCCTGATAGTATTTAAGCTTGAGAAATACCGCCTTGGATTAATGTGCTGTAAACAATAAATGCTTTTTTTTTTTTTCCTTTTTGTCTTTTTTTTCGTGACCGGCAACGGATCGCAATCCTCAGTGTCGCGCCCGTACCGGACCGAGACCGGCAACGGGATCGTAACCCTTGGTGTTGCTCCCACGCCTCACTCAGCCAGTGAGCGGCTGGTCTGTATGTGGGATCCGAACCCTCGGCGGGAGCG